GAGGGGTGGGAGGTACAAGAGGAGCACCCACCTGCTTCCCTCGGTACCTGGCTGCAGCTGTCTGAGCAGCTCCAGGTGCCCGAGGGCACACCAACCCTTGCTCCCAGCCTAGTGCCCCGGCAGCCCGCAGCCACACGTGGTCAGCATTACCCTGATAGCAAAACCAGACAAAGGCATTATAAGAAAATAAAACTACGGACCAATATTCTTTAACATAGAAACAAGTATCCTCAATAACATTTTACCAGATTGAATCTAATAACATGTAAAAAGGATAAAACCTCATGACCAAGTTGAGTTTATCCTGGGAACACGAGGTTGCTTTGAAAGATAATCAGTGTAATTCACTATAGTAAACTAATAAGAGAAAATCGTTTTATCATCTTTGTAGACACATGAAAAGCATTTGACAAAACCCAACATCCATTGCTAACCAAACCCCTACATAGAAGATAACTTCCTTAACCTGCTAAAGGGCGGCTACAAGAAAGCTACAGCTGACATCATACTTACTAGCAAAAAAGGGAATGCTTAACCCTTAAGACTGGGGACAAGACAAGGATGCCCTCTATCATCACCCCTATTCAACATGGTGCTGGAGGTCCCAACCAGTGTGATAAGGCAAAATGAAGAAAGAAAACGCACACAATCAGAATGGAAGAAACAAAACTGTCTCTTCATAGAGCGTGTAATTGCATAAGTAGGAAATTCAAGAGAATATACAGAAAAGCTGCTAGAATTAATAAATGAGTTTAGCAAGCTTGCAGAATACAAGGTCACCAAAGTTACTTCTACTTACAGCAATAAACAATTGGAAATTTGATTTATAAAAACAACCATTCATAATAGCACCAAAAACATGAACTATGTAGGTATAAATCTAACAAAATGTATGCAAAATCTCTATGCTGAAAATTATAAAACATTGCTGAGAGAGACCACAGAAGACCTAAGATCATCCATTGGTTCATAGGTTGGAAGTTTCAATATTGTTAAGATGTTATCTCTCACCAAATTAATCTATAAATTCAACCCTATCTCAATCAAAATTCCTGGTAGATATCAACCAGCTGATTATAAAAGTTACGTAAAAAGTAAAGGAACTAGGGGGCTGGCCCGGTGGTGTAGTGGTTGAGTTCCCGTGCTCTGCTTCAGTGGCCCAGGGTTCGCAGGTTCGGATCCTGGGCTCAGACCTACACACAGCTCATCAAGCCATGCTGTGGTGGTGTCCCACGTACAAAATAGAGGAAGATTGCCACAGATGTTAGATCAGGAACAATCTTACTCACCAAAAAAAAAAAAAAAGTAAAAGAACTAGTTAGCTAAAACAAGTTTGACACAGAAGAATAAAGTGAGAATTGTCACACCACCCAATTTTAAAACTTACTATAGGGGCCGGCCCCGAGGCCGAGTGGTTAAGTTCACGCGCTCCACTTCGGCAGCTCAGGGTTTCAGCAGTTTCGATCCTGGGTGTGGACATGGCACCACTCATAGGCCACGTTGAGGTGGTGTCCCACGTGCCACAACTAGAAGGGCCCACAACTAAAATATACAAGTATGTACTAGCGGGCTTTGGGGAGAAAAAGGAAAAATAAAATCTTTTAAAACAAAACACTATAAAGCTTCAGTAACCAGGACAGTGTGGCCCTGGCGAAGAGGCAGACACAGAGATCAAGGGAGCAGAAGAGAGAATCGAAAACCAGACCTACACAACTCTAGCCAATTGACTGTTTTTTACAACGTTGCGAAAGCCATCCAATGGAGAAACGACAGTCTTTTCAACAAACAACGTTAAAACAGTCGGACATTGATATGTTGTACAAAATGAGCCTCAACCTAAACCTCACACATTACACAAAACTCAAAACTGACCTTAGATCTGAAGGCAAAATCTAACTCTATAAGATTTCTGGAAGAAAACATAGGAGAGAATCGCCAGGACACAGAGCTGGGTAAAGTCTTGTTAGACGTGACACCAAAAGCCCTGTCCATAAAAGAAAAGAAGTTCAAAATTGAACTTCATCACAATTAAAACTTTTGCTCCATGAAAGACGCTCTTAAGAAAATGAACGGACAAGCTACAGATGGGAGAAGATATTTACAAATCGTAAATCTGACGTAGGACTTGCCTCCAGAAAACATGAAGAACTCTCAAACTCAATAATAAGAAGTAAAATAAGAAGAAGAAATAAATACAATAATACATACAATAAGGAATAATAAGAAACAAAGTGATCTAATTTAAAAGTGGTAGGAGATACCACTACACACTTATTAGAATGACTAACTAAAATTTTAAAAAAGAGAGCAATATCAAGTGTTGTCCAGATGGAGCAGCTGGAGCTCCCCTCTGTTGCTTGTGAAAATAGAAATGGTACAGCCACTCTGGAAAACGGTTTGGAAATTTCTTAGAAATTTGAACACTCTCTTCCGTAGGACTCAGCAATCCTCTGCTGGGGCGCTACCCTGGAGATACGAAAAGCCGTGCACTTAAAAAACCCTGTATACATTCATTTAAAGCGACTCTGTTGGTAATCGAGTCTGATGGAGTCCTTCAGAGCCCCACTGTTCGTGAGTCCTGACTCCACAGCGCCCCCTCCTGACACACACTGCCCTCTCCAGATGAAGCCTGGGGCTCTAGGTTCCAAGCCTGCCCCTGGCCCCACACCTGCAGCAGGGCCTGCCCTTTCCTGATGGATGTGACAAGAACCAGCTAAGGGACACAGATGGGCAAAACCCGCCTTGGCTGACATGAGCCCAAGGAGCGGGGCTGATGCCCCCGAGGGACACGGCACAAGGTAAAGGCCGCTGCAGAGTCAGGCACACAAGGGGCCCAGGAAGGGAAATGGAGGTGGTTCTGCAGCTCCAGTCGCTTCGGGAGGATGTGCAGGGGGCACAGTCCTCAGGTCCCGCTCTCTGAAATCATGCAGACCTGGAGCGGCGTCCCAACATTATTCCCTCCTAGCTGGGGCGTGCAACCTAGCTGACCTCCCTGAGCCTCAGTTTCCTCATCTGTAGAGTGGGACTTCTGGGACTGCCGAGAGCCGAAATGCCACCAGCATGGAGAACACTCAGGGCACAGCTGGAGCGTGGCAGAGTCTGACAGAGGCGGCACTTGTTACTATCAGTGATCCTCACAAGATTGAAATGGCTTCCTGCCCTGTGGCTGGGGACTCCGGCAGCCACACCTGACAGCCCCGTTGTGGAGTGGAGGGGCTGTTTGTGAGGGTCCATGCTGGGAGTGCGTGGCTGAGGGAGGTGGACAGGGGAGGGGCAGGCCCCGGGCTGCAGGATGGGAGGCAAAGTGGAGGTCTGGGAAACCCCGTGGCCTGGGAATCCTTGTTGGGCTAGAGACCCAGAGCAGGGGAGAAGGGACTGCCGTGGGTCTGCCTTCCAGGGTGAGGTCCAGTGGACTGGGGGACGGTGAGTAGTTCCTGCAAGGCTGCCCTGGGGTGGGTCCCCCTGTTGGGGTTAACCTCGCCCCCTCTTTTGTAGGGCTCAGATGCCTTCCCCACCTCTGGGAAAGTTCTGGACCTCAAAAATGTCTACTGGGACAACTGAAACTAAAGCCAGCTCCTTGTGCCCCGTGCTTCAGGTCGCTTCCCCCCTGGTCTCAGTCTCCTGGTCTGTGCAAGGGGAGGCTGGCAGGGACAGACGCTGGGTTAGGAAAATAAAAAGAAAAGGAAGCGTAAGGGAGGCGGAGACGTGGGGCGGGAGGCGACAGGGCCCCTCGGTGCTGGTGGAACTGCTTCTGGGGGAAGAAGGACAGGTCCTGGGTCTGACCCTCTGCATTAAATGTGCTGCAACTCACCCCGAGGGAGCCAGGCTCAGAGCTTGGGGCGTCAACTGGGTCAGAAGGCCTCTTGGGAAATCCAGAGATGCTGCAGGTGACAGGCTGCCATTTGGGCTGCAGCCAGGACTGATGCTGCGGCCCCCGCAGGAGTCAGGAGCTGGCGATGGTGGCCAGGCCCGGCTCACCCTCCCCCTGATGTCAGCCACGCCCAGCACCTTCTCTACACAGCTGTGCTCAGCTGAGCTCCTTGGAAGGAAATTCAAACCAGTTTTGATAGCCCTGGCTCCTGTGCTCAGAGCCCACCTCCCTGGCTCTGCCCAAACATCCCCGGGGCACAGGGGTCGGGTCATGGGGGGAGGGGGCATGGCACGCATCTCCCATTGTCCCACCTGCCCTGTTGAGCCCCCTGCCCCACTGTGTCCACTGCCTTGGCCCCTGCATGGTGTGGCCGGTGACAGTGCTGTGTCCAGGACACCTGGACCTGGATTTTTGACAGAAGCTGCCTCCCCCTCCCCAGCTCATTTCTCCTCCTCTTGGTGACATCGTGCTACAGGGCTCCTCACATGCCACATCCCTCCTCAGCCTGTCCCTGGTCCCCTCCAAGACAGGCCTGAGGGAGGAGCTCAGGTCCCTCCCTAGCTGGGCAGGGCTCTACCCCTACCATGCTTCCACCCACCCCCTTAGTGGCCTCTGCACTTTGCTCAGTCTGTTCCCTCTGCCTGGATTGGCTGCTCCTCCACGGGTTGGCTGGTGAATCCAGCCAGTCCTCAGCGACCCAATGCAGTTGCCCCGTCTGGGGCAGTGGCCCCATCATCCTCAGCAAGGGCACCCCCTCCCCGAGTCGGCTCCTCCTCTATCATGTCCTAGGGTCACTGTGGTGCGTTGATGACCTCGAGCCCCCAAGACCACAACCTCAGGACATTGTGTCCTTGCATCCTGGCCAGTGTCCACTGCCAAGTTGCCAGGAGTGTCCCCAACTCCCTGGTCCCTCTGAACTTGAGAGCAAGGACCCAGCAACACGTCTTCAGAAGGGGGCCCGTTAGCGCACGAATGGGACAAGGAGGCGTTCACAGAGAACCCCACCTGCTGAGAGAAGGGGTCCTCTCTTCCCAGGTCACCACACTCTGGGGGCCGTAGGAAGCACCTGGACTTCTCAGCCAGCTATTTTGTTCAGGACTGACTCACAGGCACCTTAGAAGTACATTTTTATTTGTCTATGCTGCCAGGCAGAAAATCAAAGCATCTGGTGAGAAGGGCCCAATTCTGCAGGTTCAGCTCCCGGAGCTGTCCAGAGCCGCCCGGCTGGGCACCTACGGCTTCCTCCTGTGGGGAGACCTGGCCCCAGCACACAGCTGCCTGCACAGAGGGAACTGGTGGCAGGTGACCCAGGGTGCAGACAGAGCCAGGGACCCTCACCCAGGTGGGGACTCACCCAGGGCCAGGGAGCTGCCAGACTGTGCCCGTGGCGCCAGCCCCAACGTGGCCTGTGAGTCATGGGCTCTGGCGGAGGCTTTGAAGAGCTGTGGCCTGTCTCCAGCACCCAGGGCTGGCCGAGGCGGGTGAAGGGCCCGTGTGTCTCACGCCCTGGGGAGGACGCCTGGCTGAGGGGCGGTCTGCCGTGGGAGTTTCTGGTTCTGCACCTGGGCCAGAAGCAGGTGGCGATGGAGGCGAGGGCGCAGGTGTGGCGTTCCCAGGGGCAGCCGGCCCAGGTGGATTCTCCCACAGCTCCCTCGCCCTTGGGGCCAGCTCCCGACACATCAGCTCAGGTCCCCTGCGCAGCCCGGCTCCTTGTGGAGCCCCCAGGCCCATGGCCGGTCTGAATGTGTCCCTCTGCTTCTTCTTCGCCACCTTCGCTCTCTGCCAGGCAGCCAGGAGGGTGTCCAAGGCTCTGCTCCCGGCGGGCGCCTATGCCAGCTTCGCCCGGGAGGCGGCAGGTGCAGCTCAGTTGGGAGCCTGCTGCCTGGAGATGCGGATGCTGGTGGAGCTCGGGCCCTGGGCCGGGGGCTTTGGCCCGGACCTGCTGCTGACCCTGCTCCTCCTGCTTTTTCTGGTGCACGGGGCAACCTTCGACGGGGCCTCAGCCAACCCCGCCGTGTCACTGCAGGAGCTCCTTCTGGCCGAGGCCTCTCTGCTGGGCACGCTGCTGAAGCTGGCAGCCCAGGGTCTGGGCATGCAAGCGGCCTGCATCCTGACCCGGCTCTACTGGTCCTGGGAGCTCAATGACCTGCACGTCCTCCAGAACCTCATGGCTGAGCACTGCAGCTCGGCCCTGAGCACGACCGTCCCCCACGGCACGCTGGTGGAAGGCGCCTGCGCCTTCTTCTTCCACCTGACCCTCCTCCGCTTCCGGAACAGTCTTCCCATCTACAGGGTGCCGGCCGTGGCCCTGCTGGTCACCGTCATGGCCTACACAGGTGAGACCTGGCTGCCTCTCCGCTGGGCCACATCTGAACCTCAGCACCAGTGTGGCTGCCACGCCCCTCGAACCTGAGGACACCCGGGAGAGGGGCTGCTGGCCGAGGGGGCTTGCAAGGCCCCAGACTGGGGTGGCCATTTCCTGGGACCTGGTGGTGGGATGGGCTGGATGCAGCACGGTGCGGGTGGGAGTGGGGGTGGGGGTGGGGCCCTCGCCACCAGCAGGCCGTCCTTCCTGGCTGGGCCATCCACACTCCGAGCTGTTGCTGTTTCTCCCAGAAGCTCTGCACCCAGGCAGGTGGGGCGGCGAGGGTCATTTCTCCAGGGCCTGGCCCAGAATCTGGTCTGGAAGCCCCTGTGCCCTTTGTTGCCCCTTCCTAGAGTGCCAAGACCTGCCATTTCTTCCTCACCCATGTCCTTCCTTCCCACTTGGCCCTAAATTTCTCCAGAGAGGGCAGCACCTCTTGTCCCCTCTCCCTGTCCGGGCTCCCTCCTGCAACCCAGGCCAAGTCTCCTGACCAAGCTCTCACGGAGTCCCTCAGCCCCTGTGGAAGCTGCCATCGGCCCGTGGGCTCAGCCTAAACCAGCACCCGCTTCTCAGCTTTTGGCCCCCAGGTGGCCCTCGGTCACTGGTCCTGGGCTCCCCCATGAGCACCTGCCCTGCCAGGGTGATGCCCCGCCCATTCCCATCCTTGTAGAGGAGCAGAAAGCCAAGGACAGGTGTGGGACCCACCAACCACTAACTGGTGTTCCACTGTCTCTGGAGTGGGGCAGAGCTGGGCCAGAACTTGGAGGTGCCAGGCTGGGGCTGCTGACAAATCCCTGAGTGGGCTCTGCCCTTACTCTGTCTGTGGGATTTGCACCCCCGGGAGGGGTCCTCCTGGAATGACCACCCCCTCCGCCCCCAAGCACTGGGGATGGGGACTGGGCAGGACAGCAGGGCCCTCCAGGAAGGTTGCCGGGTACCGCCCCCGATGCTGGGAGGGACACGAACCTTCCACTTGGCAGGCCCTCTGGAGAGGACATCCTGTGACGATGGGGCTACAGATTATTCACCGAGCAGCTCGTTCCTGCTCAGGGCACTGGGGATATAACAGGATGGGGCCTGAGGGCCGAGCTCTCCGTAGTCTCCATCCTGGGTGGGCCAAGCCGGATAAGGACAGAGCCAGCACTTAGGGTTGACTTTCTGAGACACTGACCATGGCCTGGCACAGGACAGACACTGCAGGACCTGCACCACAGTGGGCCCGGGAAGGTGCCACTAGAGTCCTTATACAGGGGGGGAAACTGAGGCACGGTGAGCAGAGAGCTTGCCACGAGCAGAGCTCTGCTGCCAGGTAGCCTGGGCTCCCATCCTGGAGTGACGCCCAGGAGCCCTGTTGTCAGCACAGCAGCCACCCAAGGCGCTTCCCTGAGAGCCAGTGCTGCTGTCTGCAGCCTGGTCTCTACCCACTGGCTTCAGGCTCCATGTCCAAGGGGCCACCTGCTCTCCCCAAGGCCCAGACCCTGCTCTGGCCCTGCCCGCTCAGTGATGGTGGTCCTGGGCTGGTGGTGAGGGTCGCTGGCCTGGCTCTGGCTGCTTTTCCAAGCCTCCCCTCCCCTGCCCCGTCCACTCCTCTCTTCTGGTGCTGTGTCAGTAGGCTCAGTCCCTCTCCACGATCTCTCTCTCTCCCCCTCTCTTTCTGTCTCCCTGTCTCTGTCTCTGTCTCTGTGGCTGTCTCTCAAAGACAACCTCCCACAAGGTAGGGCGCAGTGGAGAAAAGGACAGGGTCACGTGAGTCTGTCCTTGGGGGTGACAGGTCAGGATGGGCGTTGGACATCCCTGGAGAGACTTATCCCCATTATACCCTGACCCCGTGACCTTTGGCCTTGGCTCCCATCAGCAGGAGGGGACAAAGTTGGGCTGAGCTCCGGCCTACACACAGGAGGACTCCTGGGGGAGTTTCGGAGGGGGGCTCTGGCACTGCTGGAGGGACGGCTGCAGGCAGCGGCAGGACAAGGCCGGTCTGTGCTTCCCTCCGCAGCTGGGCCATTCACGTCCGCCTTCTTCAACCCCGCCCTGGCCGCCTCCGTCACCTTCCACTGCTCTGGGCACACCTTGCTGGAGTACGCCCAGGTGTACTGGCTGGGCCCTCTGACAGGTAAGGGGGAGGGGTCGCTGGGGCCCACAGAGGAGCTCCTGTGCTGGCTCTGGGAGTCCCTGAGGGCAGGTGGCAAGGCCAGCCCTAGGCAGTGGCTCAGGGCCTGGGGACAGGGACAGTCACACAAAGTGTTCCTGGAGGGCATGTCTATGGGTCCAGCCTGCAGGTAGGGAGTCCATTCAGGGACCGCTGGAGCAGAGGCTTCCTGGTTGTGGAGTCCTGAAGGGAGGGATGGATGCCAGGTCAGGGCTCCCTGGCTGCCCTATGGGGCTCTGAGGGCTCCCCTCTGGTGTAGACATGGGGGCTCCTCCTCTGTTCCAGTTAGAGACCTGTTTCCTGGACCATCTTGAGGGAGGGACTGTGAGTGGCCCATCTTGCTTTGAACCTCATCACGGAGGGGCTGGAACCAAAAAAGGAAGGTGGCAGGCGTCAGGGAGAGGCAGACCCCTCCGAGGTACTAGGCAGACAGGTGAGGACTGTGCCTGCCATGGGGCCTCCCTATGCTGGGGTTTCTGTACCCCCTGCAGGGCATCCTCACAGACACAGAGCCAGGGGTCCCTTGATCAGGTGCTGGTCCTTGTGTCTGTGGAGCCTCAGGGGACAGTGGGCCAAGGTAGACTGGAGGGGGACCATGCTGCCTGGACAGGGCTGTGACGTGGGGTGGCTGTCCCCTGCAACCGCTGGGTGAGGCCACCCTGTGACTCCCTGAAGCTGGTGGACCCCCTGAGCCCATCTACTCTGGGCACCCTTCCTTGCCTGCACCTGTCCCCAGGGCAGAGGAGCAGCAGAGAAGGCCCTGTGCTGGGGTGACCACATCGGGGGTTGGAGCCATCCACAGCCATGGGATCCAAGCCATTCCAGGCCCAGGGTCTGAGGCCACAGGTGGAGGCCTGCTGTCATATCATCTCCTGCTGTCACCAAACCCACACAGGTCCTTTCATCCCTTGCAGAGTAGGGCCAACAACTGAAATGTCAGGCTTGAGGCAAGGAAAGAGGGATTATTATTATTGAAAGGCAGCCAGACGAAGAGATGGGAGTTAGGACCCAGATCCACCTCCTCACAGGGAAACTGGGAGGGGTTTTTATCTGACCTTTAGGTGGTGGAGGGGGAGCACGTGCTGGGGCTTTTGGTCGGGGAGGGGAGCACGTGCTGGGGCTTTAGGTCGGGGAGTGGGAGCACGTGCTGGGGCTTTAGGTCGGGAAGGGGGAGCACCAGCTGGGGCTTTAGGTAGAGGAGGGGGCGCATGAGGCCATGCTGGTTGGCCCCTTCCCGCCAGCCTGCATTTGACCTTCAAGACTGAATTGCTTTTCCCTTGACTGTCTGGACTTTTCTGGTCGGTTTTCATCTTCTGCCTGCGTTGGGCCTTGAGAGACTGACTCTTGATGTCTGGACCCTGACTTCCTGGGAAAGGCAGCTCGCTCACATACTGAGGAGGGACGGACAGACCTGGTTAGTTGTGAACGACGGCTGCTTATGCTGAGGACGCACAGCTGCAGTTAGCAAAGCTTATCTCAAAGTTTCTGTTCTCTTCTTCTAGCCCAACGAAGATGTTTTAACCTCTTAGTCCTCTGTCTCGTTGCCTTCGGTCTTAGCCCTTTGGCCCCACAGTGCTCTCCATGCCTCTATCACATGGGTCATTGAGGCCCGGTGGAACTCTGGAAGCTTCCTCCACTCCTCTGGGTCTGCAGTGGGGGGCTCTCAGGGAGATGGCCCCAGCCTCCCCTGTGGGAGGAGAAGCGAGCCTGCAGAGCTCCCAGGCTGACACTTGTCCCTGGGATGATGACATGCCATCATTATGACCTGTAACTTCAGCTTCCATTGTATCACACTCTCGGGTGCACACAGTCCTAGGAAAGGGACTAAGAATAGCAGTGGTCCCCTCCTCTGCCCCGTGTCCCCTCGAAGAGGCATCTTCTCTTTAAGGGGCATGGTTCCGTGTTCTCTTTCTCCACTCTACATAATGGGCTTGCACGGCTGCTTCGAGATTTTTCACTTGAGGCACTAACTCTTAACTCTCCACGAAGTCCTTAAAGGATTTACATCAACCTTGAAGAAAATGTGCTCTCCTCTCCAGCTTTGGCAAACTTACCCTCCCAACGAGCTGGACGGCCAGGTGGGAATTTAGGATCCTCCACTCTGGGAGTTCTGGGCAGAACCTGGGGACAAGGAGTCGGCCAGGCCTGGCCCCTGCCCCTCAGACCTCTGCTTTTCCCAGCCCAGGCCCCACCCACATCCCCCATCGCTTACAACCCCCAACACAGCCACCCACACGGATGACAGAGCACTTTGGGAGGCAGCCCTGGGAAGCAAGGGGCCCAGCAGGCTCTGTACGTGGCTCAGGATGTTTGTGCAGAGGATGCTGGACCCAGGTCCCTGAGCATGGTCTAGAAGGGCACACAGTTCCCAGTGGCTTGTCCCCATCTCCACGGGGTAGGCGCCCTGGGCATGCTGGGAAGAGCCAGACCAGAGTCCAGGAAAGGGCCCCTGGCCCAGGTCTGCAGGTTCCTCCTCCTATAGAGGCTCTGGGTGTGGGTGTCCGGGGTTGCAATGAGCCCGCTGGGCCCTATGGTCTGACACTCGTCTCCCGCAGGGATGGTCCTGGCTGTCCTGCTGTATCACGGTCACCTTCCTTGCCTTTTCCAGAGGAACCTGTTCTACAGTCAAAAGAGCAAGTATCGAGTCCCCAGAGGGAAGCCAGCCCCAGGGCCTGGAGACACCCAGATGCCCGCAGAGGGGTGCAGAGGCCGCGAGCCTGGGCGACGTGGGGTGGGGCAGCAGCCACGGAGCTCCAGCTGAGCCTACACTCTCCGTGTGAGCATCACACGAGGGTGGGGTCCCCAGGCTGGACCTTGAAACCTCCCTGAGCTAAAGGAGGTACCAGACCCACGCCCCGTTCCCCCCTGGACGCCACGTTTCAATAAACCATTCCTAAGACCTGCCAGTCTCCCTGGGCCTGACACAGGCTTCTGGAAGGGCAGGCAGGGTGAGACAGACACACAGGGGAGCCAGGTCTGAGTTGCCTCCATCCTCCCACAAGATGTCTCTTGCGTCTTTGCAGAATCAGAATAAAAAATAAGACCTAAGAAAGGCCAGGGGGAGGCAGCCTGGTCCTGAGAAGACCCAAGGCTAGAAGGTTCCATAGATGGTACCTGGCTGCCCTGGACGTGCCCCAGCCCCCACAGCCCAGGGAGGTTTGAGCAGCCACCACACCCTGAGACCTGCTGGGGACATTAAGGATGGTGGCTGGAGCCTGAGGCTGCAGGGAAGTGGGCCAGACACAGGGCACCCAATCTCGCCCGCCGCCAGCACCCTGAGCCTCTGGGCAGCAGCCTCCGGGCCCTCAGAGCCAGCCAGGCCAAGCTTGCCAATCACTGGGGCCTTCGCTGCAGAACCAGGGCTCCCTGCCAGGCTGGGAGGAGCCTCCAGTCATTTCCTCCCCAGAGACCAGAGCTGGTCTGGAACCTTCCACGGCAGGAGGACAAAGCCCCATCAGCTCGGGGTTCCTGGGAGCCATCTAGAGAGTGAGGCTGGCAAGGGCTGTAGCCCAAGGCCCCACCCTAACCTCTGACTGAGAGGGACAGGAGGGAGGGTCCAAGGAGAGGTCCCGGGTGATCTTGTCCCTGAGGGTGCCATGTGAAGGACATGTCTCCCTGAACCAGCTTCCTGGCGGGGGAGAAGAACCCTCACCCCGCTCACCGTGGCTGCCCCTTCACCCCTTTCAAGCCACCCGCACCCAGCCTGGCAGCAAGGCTGCTCTCTCTGGGCCCCAGCCTCCTCCTGTCTCCTCCAAGGGGCCACCCTGGGAGCTGGTGAGCAGGCCCAGGCCCACCAGGATAGGGCCTGAGAGCCAGCCCTGTGTGGCTTCCAGAGGGCCTGATGGAGCTGCAGAGGCTTCCAGAGAGGACTGTGAGCACAGGGCGGTGACGGGATGGAGCGCCAACCAGCAGGCATGGTGTCGGGCTCCGTGTGCACAGGGCGAGGCCGGTGCTGAGTGAGGGTCACCACAGCAGCAGCAGAGAGAGCAGAGGCTGTGCCCGGGAAGGAAGAGGGTCTCCTTCCAAGACGGCCCCAGGACCTGAGGGGGGCGCTGGCTGGCCTCTCCGTCCCCACAGGAGTCCCTGTGGCCTCTGCACAAATGACACCAGGACAGAGACCGCTGGGGCTCAGGTGGTAAATTAGCACAAGGCGGCACACACGTGGACACCTCAATAAAACATGTCAGCAAGTTATCACAACCATTCGACGGGTTTAACGTCTCTGTTTTGGAAAACTTCAACACAGTAAAGCAAAATCCACAAGCTGGGGAACAAAAAACCAAACTTAAGGAACATTTCATGCTCACGTGGAAGGGATTTATAGGGAAAGCATTTATAAATCGCTGTCCTGAGAATTATAAAGTCTAACGCGATCGAGTTTGCATTTGAGTGACTGTGCACCCACTGGAGTAGGTAGGGCTGTGCTGGGTGCGGCCGGCTCCCCAGGCCCCAGCACAGGATCCTCGGGGGGACCAAGGCATGGATTTACTCTCACTTAACACTAACAGTTTCAGCTAACTAAGTTTGGGTTTAAAAACAGTCTGGCAAACACAGTTATAACAAGACATCTTGACTTCGATACTCATCCTGTGAGCCTGGTTATGGCTCCCGGAGACCCACCCTGTGGACGCTGCCGCCTCCCGTCCTTGGCCTGACTCCAGCTCTGGACGAGGAGAACCCTCTCAGGCAGGAGTTTTCCTTGAGAGGCAGCCTGGTCTCCAAACTCGTTTCCCGTGGCACCCCTCTCCTCCCCGCCCCACTCCGACCCCTATTAACATCTCTCGGGATGGGGTTCCCCAGAGCAAACTTCAGGGGGTTCCTGCAGGTGAGATGGGGCAATGGAATGTCCACTGGGGACCTGACCTCAGCTATGACCCTGGGCATGAGAAGGCTCGCTCTCTTCCAACTCATCTCCCAGGGCCTCTGCTGGGAGACAACCCTCCTCTCAGTGCCCCAGTGGCCCTGAACAGAGTTCCCAGGTGTTGACGAAAGTAATCTGTAACCAATCTATAAATGAAAATTGAGGTGAGTTTATTCTGAGACAAATATGAGGACCATGTAGCCCGAGGTCTTCCATCCCCAAGGAAGGATGAGTACCCAAGAAGTGGGGTGTACAGAGTGGTTATATACCCTCAAAGAGCATGTTTCACATATGAAGGAAATGTCCCCTTTACAGCAGTCACGAGACTGCTCTGTCAGCACAGCAATGGATGGACACAGCAAGTTGTAGGGCGCTGTCTCAGTGGACACAGCAGGGTGGCAGGTCTGTTGTCTAGAGCTGGGTGATCACAGGATGAGTGCAGCAATTAGTTCCTAGCCTGAGGAGAGATGCTTACCCTTAAGGAAATGCAAATGTCGGGGAAGTTGCACCTTCATCTTAAGGGCATTTGTTCTTGCCTTTGGGACACAGCAAATGCTTAAGCAGATGTACAATGCATGCTCATCGGCCGCGCCAGGCCCTTTTGGAAAAACACAGTCAGGCTGAATTAGGTTTATACCAAATGCTTTCCTCATACACTCCAATCTCCTATTGCTTGCCATTTATTTGTCACAGGTCAAACCTGTCACTTCAGCCAGGCCTGCATTCAGCAAATCATGAAGGTGACAAACATCTCCCAGGACCCCTGACCACCCTCCCCTGCTCACAAGTCTGGCCCTGGGTTTGGAAGGGATGTCAGAAGGCAAATTGTCACCCCTGACCCCCTCCCTGGCCACCTTTGACCTCAGCCACTGCCTGGCCACGCCCAGTGACAGTTGCAACTGCCATTGGTGGGCAGTTTAGAACTCCGCAGGGCAGGGCAGGGCCAGAGACACCAGCCCACACTGAGGGCCCAGCTGCATGGCTTAACCATGGACCCTGCTCAGCTGAGGCCCTCTCATCGCTGCCCACGGGTCAGGTAGGGCCGCTGAGGGACTTGAATGCGGTCATGGGTGTCCAGCTGTCCTTGGATCCTCAGGACACTGTCAGAGGTGTCACCACCAGGGACGAAAGTCCACACCACTGGGAGGATGGCCGGCCTCCTTCCCAACAACCCTGAATAACCTACGGGGACTGTTGCCTCCAAATGAGGCGGACACGGGGGCTTCTTCCACCTGTAATCCAGAGGGACTTTTCACAGCCCCATGAGGTGGCAAGGTGGCTCACCATGTAGAGGGCACGACACAGTGTCCAGCACCAGACAATGCCCGGTGACCATCCACGTGGCTCACTGAGAGTGTCCAGCTGGAGGCACAGCCGGCTGAGCAGGGCTCTGCTCTCGGGGGACGGGTCTGCCGTGTCCTCCCTGGGGTGAGTGTCGTGTGGAGGCCCCCGGGAGGGACTCTCACCCTGCCCGTGAGAGAGAACGGCTGCAGCCCCTCCAGGACTGTGGGGGCGCCTGTGCTGACCCCTTGGGTCTGCTCAGAAACCGCTTCATCCCTGCCTGTGGGAAGTGGTGGTTCTGCCTGTGGCCGCCCCCTCTGTGGGCCTCGCACCCGGAAGCAGAGAAGGCGTCGCCCTGTATCCCCCACTCCCAGAAGAGACGCGGAGACACTCGCTTCCTGAGCCAGATGGTCACCCATCCTTCTGGGCCCAGGAGGCGGCTGAGAGCTCGGCCCTGAGTCATGCCAGCCAGGACGGAGTCCCGCAGAGGCTGTTCCCGCCCGCCACTTGTGGGGTCTGTCGTTCCGGCTCGGCCCTTATTCCACTTGGAAGCCTGGACTTCCCTGCTGGTTTCTGCCCTCCATTCCTGCGCAGCTGGGCCCCTCCGCAAGGAGAACAATTGCAGTCAGTGATGTGACTTGGGAGGTGCTGGCAAGGCCTCCCCCATGGTGTTACTTCCCTGGGAGCTGCCGCAGTGCAGGCCCCCACAAGAGCGTGGTGTGCATTGCTCGTCAGCGTGCTCACCACCAACACCGCCACTTCGCCCCTGAGCCTCTCTCTGCACCTGCTTCCTTCTTTTCGCATGTTCCACATGTTTACCAAACAAGGACAGCCTGGCCTCCCAGGGATGGAGGCACAGGCAGCCCCTTGCTAGGCCAGGAATGGAGACCTGGAACCAAGCAGTGCCCCTGGCATGTTCTACTCGTGTCCACCAGCTCTGGGCGCCTTGGGATGTTGACCACAGTGTCACGCTCCGTCTGCCTGCCCCATCTCACTGTTGCAACCGTGCGGCCAGACTAACCTCGTAAAAAATGCAAGATCAGGAGACACCACTGCTCAAAGCCTCCATGTCACACAGACACTCACATTTGAACTCGTGTCCTGCTTGGTGGTCCCCAGGCAGGAGACAGGACGTGCAAGCGCTGAGCAGTCAGCTCGTCCCCGGGCGGAGTAACAGATTTGTGGGGTCCACGGCCCACGAAGCACAGAGGCCAGAGGAACCCTTGACCACCTCCCAGTTTGTCCCATTAGTCCCCTTGCTGACCCTCTCCAGACAGTGGCCCCCAGGATGACGCACGAGCCGATCTCCCCTGTGGCCGGATCCTTGGATTTTCTGTCGCCTTCTTTCTAATCTTGCCTGTGATTATCCTTGGAACCCGCTGACAAACACTTAATAGCTGTTCCTTTAAACACTGTAAAGGGTAGATTTCCAGCCCCAGGCCACCCTTGGCACTTAGAGTGCCCTCGTATGTTCATCACAACCTTCAATCTTAGAAGGTCGGAGCTTGACAAGCCTCCCTAAATCTCCTGGCCGAGCTGTGGGACAAAGTGGAGCCCGCCTTCCTCTCAGCTGGCCCAGGGGGAATCCGGGCTTCAGCGAAGAATTCAAGCTGCAGGGCACAGATCCAGCAGCTGGAGGACGGTCCATGCACAGGCTAAAGGGAAAAGCCGCCCCTGCCTCCAGGACAGCGCCAGCGGCACGTGGACACGCAGATCAGGGGGCAGCAAGCCCCGCGAATGCAGCCTGCTGCCGCCTT